ACAATTATCATATGACCCAGCAATTCCACCTTAGACATATATCCAAGAGAATTAAAAGCATCCCATCTACACAAATGTTCACTGTTGCATTATTCATAACAGCCAAAAAGTGGAAACAACCCAAATGTTCAACTGACAGGTGCATAAACAAAATGCGATATATCCATAAAATGGAATATCACTCAACCATGAAAATAAATAAAGTGCTGATTCATGGTGAAACATGGATGAAACTTGACAAAATCGTGCTAACTAAAAAAGTCAGACACAAAAGGCTACCTAATATGTGATCCCATGTATATAAAATGTCCAAAGTAAGCAAATACATAGAATATCAATCAGCATTAAACAGTTGCTAGGGGTTGGGGCCGAGAATAGTGTGGAGTGACTGCTCAAGGGTATGGAATTTCTTTTGGAGATGATGACAATATTCTAGAATTAGTGATGATGGTTGCACAATATTATGAACATACTAAAAATCACTAAAAAGAGGAGTGTTGTGATATGTACATTGTATCTCAATTAAGACTAAAAGAACTGAAGGGATATCTTTGGAAATCCAAACAAAAATATAGATATAGGGAGTTCAAAATTTGGTAATCAGGGGTTTATCACTGATACTTGCTACTGTAGTCTGAATAAATTGTAGTCGTCATGTCCATATGCAATATCACATCGCTGAGGTTATAATAAAGGCCAGACAAGCTGAATTCAATTTAGATCATTACAATGTCAATAGAAGAGTTTTAAAATATATTTATGATTTCTAAATATCAGGATATAATTACAAGGAAATTAGACACAAGTTGATTTAAGCTAAATTTATAAATGCAAATGCATTCACATTTAAGGTTAGTACTTTGTTCTTGTCTGAAATTGCCCTGTTTGACTTGAATATTCTATTGATTTGCTGTCTCAGGGTTTGCTAGCCCACTATATTAAGGCTTTAGTTTCTGAAACATCGCTGTTTAGCCTAGAAAATCTGCATGCACTATATCACATGAAAATTTAATTGAGACATATGTTGTATAATAAACGATGTATCCTGGCATTATACCTAGCAAAATTTGTTCTATTTGCTTACATAACAATATCTCTATTGACTACACTCATTCATTGTTAATGAGCTTCTTGCTAAATGATACTGGTGTAGTTTCCATAATATTCTTAGCAAATAAAATAATGGAATATAAAGAAACTTAGGAGACTGAATTGTCTATCATGTTCCCAGAACTATTACTTCACTATTTACCTATAAAGTCACTCTATTTTTGGATGCTGGGTCCTCCCCTTAAAAACCAGAGGAATCATGCCAACATGCCCACTGGAAGACTATCAGCAGAGGGGAGACCCACAAGAAATAACAGGGCAGTCCAGGCCAAGAGCTGTGCAAACACTCAAACTTTCTAGAGACCGGGTTTGAGGGATTGTCTTTTTTCTACAGACTGTTAAAACATCGTATCAGAAACATTGGAGGAGTTTAAGTGTAATCTATAGCAATCTCCCTCTCCTCCTCAATAACTGCAAAGTTACCTTCAAATTTAGGGCTTTGACTGCCTATAAAGGTTGCTTATTTTAGTTTTGAGGACACTGACAATATTCCACAAGTTTATCTTATTTTGTAGCCCCCAAAGTATAAATTCCAGGTTTTTTGCCTGGTACTTGCTTGCCTTTCAGGAGCTGTAATAAAAACCTTTCATTCTAGGTGTGAAGCAATTAGAAAAATATACCAAGAACTGGAACTCTCTTTTTGACTTCTGGCCCCGACATCAAATTTAAAGGGACACTGATTTCAGTTTTGAAAGATGGGTAGTCAGATATAGGGGTAGATTTGTGAAGACCATTCCTGGATGAGAAGAAGTACAACAGAAAGGTTGAAATCATTTGGATATATGGTGGTTTGAGAGATCATTTCCCTTGTGCTACTCCATATCTCTACACTTTCTTTATCCTTTCTGCTCTGTGGCCCAGAGCTAACTTTGGACTACCTCAGGGATTGTCTCAACCAGTCTCCTTGCCTTCTAGTTTCCAACTGGACTCCGCCAAAGAGAAATATGATGGCGATTGAAAGAACAGAGGACAATTGGGTCAGGCTACTTATTCTCTAATTCCCAGCTCCCTTCCTGCTGAAACATAGTTTATAGCTGTGAACTTCTACTGAAAATCTCCAGTTGGCTACCCTCTTCTTCATTGTCAGCTCCAACTATAACCTCTCTTGACAGACTATGGAGAGAAAAGATGAAGAGTTGATAAGGACCAGATCACAAAGGGGCATAAATGTCATGCTAAGAAGTTGTCATATAACTTCATCCATGCATGAAATATCCTGTACTTCCTTCTTTCCCATTAATTAATTTGTCTCAGCACCAAACCCATACTGTTTTAATTCCTGCAGCATTACTTCATGCTTTGACATTTATTAATCATCATATGGGTTTTCAAATTTTCTGGGTTATTTTTATCAAAATTGTTTCAGAATCAACTTTAGAATTTGTTTATACGATTCTATTTAAAAAGAAAAAAAAGTCAATTGGGAATTTGAGCCTTCTTTTATATCTTTTAGTAAGTTAAAAGAGTTTTCTTCTTATGAGATTATCCAATTTAGGCAGGACTATAATCAACTGTAATGATTACGGTCAGGGATCTGTCTTTCCATCTCTGGTGTCTAGTTTCTTCTCACTGGACTCCTTCCTCCTTCTCAGTCAGCATCTTCCTACACAGGGTCAAGATGGCTATAAGCAGTTGGAAGATTCTGGTACAAACATGCAACTGTTCTGAAATGGGCATATGCATTTGTTCCAGCAGTTTCCAAAGTTGCCTGTCAGGGTCTCCTTTGCCCCCACATGAGTAACATACCCAACCCTGAGCTAATCTCAGTCACCAGTAAGATAGAATGTCTTGACTGGTCAAGCCCAAGCCTGAGCCCACACAGCGGGTTGAGTTATCTCTACCTGAATCATGGAAAATAGAGTCGTTCTCAAGATGAAATCCAGATGCTGTTATCAAAATCAGAATAAATTGATTTAGGTAGTCAAAAACAGAAAATGTCCACTACATATACCACAATTATTTTTCCTTAATTATTTTATTTATCTCCTTTCCTGTCTTAGACTAAACTTTGTGACATATATATGTATATGTTTCCCTGTAGCAGTTTGACATTATACATCATATTTTCATCATTCCAGTGGATAGCCCTTCAAAATGGTCGTTTACTAACATTATTTGACTGACAGAATCTGAACCCCCATCAAAGGGATTCTCACACTCTGTGAGTCTTCATGGAATCAAAAAAGCTAAATGTTTGTTCTCTCTATTCCCTGGCACCTAGAGGCAGGCAAGTATCAGGTTCAGCTGATGATATGCTTTTGCCTGGGACATTGAATACGAGACAAGAAACAGTGATGTTAAGAATAGATTATACTTCATTCTTTCAGTCGATGGTGGAATATGGCATCCAATGGCATCAGGAGCAAGAATGGCCTCCTATGTCTATTTATAGCATCAGCACCAGCCTGCTAAATAGATAAATTCTGTGGTACGACAGTGACTGTTTCTGGATAACACCTTCTCTTAATTCCTAGCTATTTCCTGAGCCCTAGTATTCAGCCTTCTCCTGGAGATACATAATATCCTTCAAATAAATCAATTTTTCTGCCGAATGTAGCAATCATCAATTTATGAGGCTTCAACCTGGGACCCTAACTAATAAAACGTTAAAACTTTGTACATATTTTAAATATAATTTTAATTGCATAGAATCACTGGATATAAATATGCACATGAATATGAGATTCATTTTAGTAGGGATCCAAGGGATGCTATAAGAAGAAATAGGAATCTCTAGGTATTATGTTAACTTATATCTATAAAGAAAAATTATAGAACCAATTTACTAACTTTTTTAAATTTAGAAAATCTATTCACACAAAAAAGAATATATACTATACAGTGAAATAATTTTTCAAACTCAAAATATTCCAAAGAATATCAGTGAAATCAGCATAATATATAAAATGCATGTATAAAAAGAAGACAGTATTTATTTTAATACATGAGTATAGCTATTATATCAGAAGTTAATATAACAATCTAATAAAATGAAAAACCTTGGAGAGGTTTAATTAGAAAAAATAAATATAAATAATAAATATCAGAAATATTGATCCTAAATCCACTAAAATATAAGAATATGTTATGAACAACTTTATGCCCACACATTAGGGAAGTTACATAAAATTCATAAAGTATACAAGAAACATAACAACAAAATGACACAAGAAGAAACTGAAAAATTGAATAAACTCATAACTAATAATGAAATATCATTACTGATTAAAGCTTTCTTCAATGAAAATTCAATGCCAATATAGCTTTACCAGTAAATTATCTTAAATATTTAAGGAAAAATACCAGTCTTATATGAATTCTTCCAGAAGAAAGAAAAAATATTACCCAATTTATTTCATGTGGTCAAAATAATTTTGATGCCAAAAATTGAAAAAAAAATTATAGACAATTATCTCATGAAAATAAATGTATAAACCATTAAAAATTTAAAAATTAAAAACTAACAAACTGTTATTAGAGTATATTAAAAATAACAATACGTCATGCTCAAGGTGGGTTTATACTTGGAATGCAAGGCTAGTTTAACAACCAAATCAATCAGTATAATTTAACCATTAAAAAAACATAAGAGAAAAATTATGTTAACATTTTAATATAGGTAGAAAAATAATTGACACAACTCAACTTTAACACATGAAAGCTAGGATAAAGAAGAATATACAGATATAAAAGAAATTAGAAAAAATACTTGTAGCATATCAGCTTGAGCTGCTATAACAAAATACCATACTGGGTGGTTTAAGCCATAGACATTTATTTCTCACAGTTCTGGAGTTTGCAAAGTCCAAGAACATGATGACAGCATATTCAGTTCCTGGTGAGGGTCCTCTTCCAGACTTGAAGATGGCCTCCTTCTCACTGAATCTTCACATGGTAGAGAAAGAGAGAGCTCTGGTCTCTCTTCCTCTAGTAAGAACACTCATGTCATCTTGAGAATTCACCTTCATGGTCTCATCTGAGCTAAATTACTTCCCCAAAGCTCCATCTTCAAATACCATCACATTGCACATTAGGGCTTCTACCTATGAATTTGAGGGGTACACATACATTCAATTAGTAACAGCACATCATGATTAATGGTACAAGATGGAATGTTGTTTGCCTGAAATTGGGAATGAAATATAAATGCCATTATTCCTACAGCAAATCAACAATATCCTGATGGTTCTAGTCAGTAGAGTAAGACAAGAAAAAAATTTAAAATGGCATAAGGACTGGAAAGAAAGAGATGAAAGTTCAATTATGCACAGCCGATGTGCATATGAATAATGATAAACATTAAACATTTAGATAGCTAAGACATCTCAACTTAAAAGACAACATATTGTGAGAATGCTTTCAGGAGCTTTGACAGAAATGCTACATCCTTAAAATACAAAGAATGCTAAAAATTGAGATGAAAGTCACCAAGAATTTTATATAAAATTTGGCAAAGGATGCAAGTAGACAACTTATACGGACAAATAGATGTGTAGTAGGTTTAATACAGCAAGTAATTAAAAATTAAACAATGTAACTTATCTTTTTTTCCTTTTCAAATTAATAAATATGTCTAGGTTGTTGAGAGTGAGGTAAAAATGTAATCTCACATATTAAATATAGGATTTTAAATCAGCTTAAGCTTTCTGGAAAAACACTTGATAATTTTGTCAAGAGTCTTCTAAATATTCATATATTTTGGCTAAGCTCTTTTTCTTGTAGGAATTTATCCTAAAGAAATCCTCAATCAGATATACTGATGTGTATTTATGTATGGAGATTTTTCATCAAAGTTTTTTATAATGTCTCAATATTAGAAATAATCAAATTCAACAATAATAAGAACAGCACTAAGTAAACATGAAGATATATACACAGGTATAGCTCAGAAATACTGAATGTTCAATTCCAGGCCACCACAATAAAACAGTTTTGCAAAAAAGTGAGTCACACAAATTTTCTGGTTTTCCAGTGCATATAAAAGTTATGTTTACACTATGATATAGTCTATTAAATGTGCAAAAGCATTATATCTAAAAATATGTATGTACCTTTATTTAAAAAAAACTTTATAGCTAAAAATGCTAATAATCATTTGAACCTTCAGTGAATCATAATCTTTTTGCTGGTGGAGGTTCTTGCCTTCGCATTGATTGCCACTGACTGATCAGGGTGGTGGTTGCTGAAGGTCAGCATAGCTGTGGAGGTTTCTCAAAATAAGATGATAAAATTTTCTGCGTTGATTAGCTCTTTTCTTCGTGAAAAATTTGTCAGTAACATGGGATGTTGTCTGATATTATTTTACCCATAGAATTTCTTTCAAAATTGGAGTCAATCCTCTCAAACCCACCATTGCTTTTTCTAAGTTGATGTAATATCCTAAATCCTTTGTTGTCATTTCAACAATGCTTATAGTCTCTTCACCAAGAGTAGATTCTACTTCAAAAAAAAAAGTACTTTCTTTGCTCATTCATAAGAACCAAATCTTCCTCTGTTCAAGTTTTATGATATTGCAGCAATTCAGTCACGTCTTCAGGCTCCACTTCTAATCTAGCCATCTTGCTATTTCTACATCTTCAGCTACTTCTTCGACTGAAGTCTTGAACCTCTCAGTCATCCATGAAGGTTGCAATCAACTTTTTCCAAATTCCTGTTAATGTGGATGTTTTGACCACCTCCCATGAGTTATGACTGATCTTAATGGCATCTGGGATGATAAATCCTTACCAGAAGGTTCTTAATTTACTTTGCCCATATCCTTCAAAGGAATCGCTGTATTTCTGAAATAATAAGACTTGAAAGTCAAAGTTACTTCTTGATCCATGGGCTGAAGAACAGATGTTATGTTAGCAGACCTAAAAACAACATTAATCTCATTGTACATCTCCATCAGCTCTTGAGTGACCAGGTCCATTGTCAATGAGTAGTAATAATTTAAAAGGAATCTTTTTTTTTTTTTTCTCTGAGCATTAGGTCTCATCAGTGGGCTTAAAATATTCAGTAAACCATGTTGTGAACAGATATACTGTCATCAGGCTTTTTTTCCCCCATTTATAGAGCACTATAGAGTAGAATTAGCATAATCTTTAGGGCTCTAGAATTTCTGGAATGGTAAATGAGCATTGGCCTCAGATTAGTTACATTAGCCACTAACAAAAGAGTCAGCCGGTCATTTGAGGTTTGGAAGCCAGGAATTGACTTCTCTCTACCTATAAAAATCCCAGATGGCTTCCATATAGTACCATTTTATCTACATTGCAAATCTGTTGTTTAGGGTGGTCACCTTCATCAATTATCTCAGCTAAATCTTCTGGATAACTTGCTGCAGCTTCTACATCAGCACTTGCTGCTTTACCTTGCATTCATGTTATAGAGATGTCTTCTCTTCTTGAACCTCATGAACCAAGCTGTGCTGTTGTCAGACTGTTCTCTGCAGCTTCCTCACCTCTCTCAGCCTTCATGGAATTGAAGAGAGTTAAAGTCTGACTCTGGATTAGGTTTTACTTTAAGAGAATGTTGTGGCTGGTTGGATCTTCTATCCAGCCACTAAAACTTTCTTCCTATCAACAATAAGTTTGTTTCCCTTTCTTATTATTTGTGTGTTCACTGGAATAGTAAGTTCAATTTTTATCAAGCATTTTTCTTTTGAATTAACAACATGACTGTTTGATCCAAGATGACTACCTTTCAGACTACTTCAACTTTTGACATGGCTTCCTCACTAACCTTAATCATTTCTAGCTTTGTATTTAAGTGAATGACATGCAGCTCTTCCTTTCACTTGAATACTTAGAAGCCATTTTAGGGTTATTAATTGACCCAATTTTAATATTGTTGCTCTCGGGGAATGGGGAGGCCCAAAGAGAGGAAGAGAGACGAGACAGGAATGGTCAATTGGTAGAGCAGTCAGAATATACAAAACATTCATCAATTAAGTTGAGTCATCTTAGACAGGTGTTGTTTGTGGAGCCCCGAAACAATTACAGTAGTGACATTAAAGATCACTAATCACCAATCACCATAACAGATATAATAAGGAAAAATTTGAAATATTGTAAGACTAACCAAAAGAGACATGAAGTGAGCGAATGCTGTTGGAAAAAAATGGCATCAATAGACTTGTTCAATGCAGAACTGCTACAATCTTTTAACTTGTAAAAAGTGTACCTGCCAAATGAAATAAAGTGAAGCACAGTAAAACCAAGTATGCCTCTATAACATTTGAAGCAACTGAAACAGTGCTTCCAAGAATATATAATAACATATGAAAAAGCTCATATTTCATTAGCAGTGAAAATATCGACCTAATGTAACTGGGATAACATTCCAAAATATAGAAATCAGATTTGCACAGCTTGATGGATTTTCTTAAATTGAACATACCCATAGACTCGGCACTGAGATTTTTAAAAAAGTTGTGAATAACTATCCTTATTTCTGATACCACAGCTTTATTTCCTTTGATTTGAATTTAATATAAATTGACTTTCACAGTATATATTGTTTTTTGGCTACTTTTATTTGATATGCTATTTGTTAGATTTAGCTCTTGCTTGTTCAGTTGTCCCATTGGTATCTATAAGGGATACATTCCAGGACCCCAGTGGATATCAAAATCCAGGGATGCTCAAGTCTCTAAATATTAGAACTTCAATACATCTGAAAGTTATGTTGCTATGCATAGCGAAGCAAAAATAAAGATTTTTTTCCAAAATAGCCAATTAATTAAATACCAGTTTCTAAGTAATCTTTTTTCACTGTTTTTATGATGCAATGTTAACAACAATCCATTCTTTACTAATAATAATTTGTATAGTTCTCCTTACAATACAGCTTTCTGTCAATTACCTAAGTAAAACAATATTGTTTCTATTCATTAAATCTTCATTTCATTTCATCTTATTTTAACATAAAATAAGAGCAGTTTTACCCCATTAAATATTTTTTCCTAAGAGTATTTGATGGCTTTACTCATTAGATGAATTGTAGAATATTCTATGAAGTACCACCAAACATGCAAACAACCATCCAGATACCTACCGAATCTTAAGCTATAAAAACTTATTTTAACTTATTGTAATAATCTATAATAACTTACTGACATCTCAGATATCCAGTTATTTTGTTTTGTAATAAGGTGTGTTTATTTTTATTTTCTTCTTTTGTAATCCTAAAAATGTTTCAGCAGTTTTTACTATATACAATAATATCTTTTTTTTTTTTTTTTTTTTGAGATGGAGTCTCGCTCTGTTGCCCAGGCTGGAGTGCAGTGGCTGGATCTCAGCTCACTGCAAGCTCCACCTCCCAGATTCACGCCATTCTCCTGCCTCAGCCTCCTGAGTAGCTGGGACTACAGGCGCCCACCACCACGCCCGGCTAGTTTTTTGTATTTTTTAGTAGAGACGGGGTTTCACTGTGTTAGTCAGGATGGTCTCGATCTCCTGACCTTGTGATCCGCCTGTCTCGGCCTCCCAAAGTGCTGGAATTACAGGCTTGAGCCACCGTGCCCGGCCCAAATACATATCTTTTTAAGGCCCCTCTAATTCAAATAATACTGATTTTTATTGTTACTAGAAATGTAGTATGTTTTAAAATACTTTTATTTTTCTGAAATTATATTACTGATAAATAGAAAGTTATGATACCTATATCAAAGATATCAAAATAAAACATTTAGTGTTAGTGTTTTTTTGTTTTGTTTTGTTTTGTTTTGGTTCGGTTTTGTTTTTGTTTTTGTTTTTTGAGACAGTCTTGCTCTGTCACCAGGCTGGAGTGCAGTGGCGCTATCTGGGTTCACTGCAACCTCTGACACCCCAGTTCAGGTGATTCTCCTGCCTCAGCCTCTGGAGTAGCTGGGATTACAGGCATGCACCACCATGCCCAGCTAATTTTTTGTATTTTTAGTAGAGACAGGGTTTCACTCTGTTGGCCAGGATGGTCTTGATCTCCTGACCTTGTGATCCACCCACCTCGGCCTCCCAAAGTGCTGGGATTACAGGCGTGAGTCACCGTGTCTGGCCAGTCTTAGTTTTTAAACTTTGTT